TCTCTCTCTCTCTCTCTCTCTCTCTCTCTCTCTCTCTCTCTCTCTCTTTGCTGTGCCTATCCTTCTATTTCTCCTCCTCTTCCATTTCTCCACCACTTACCTGTTCCTTTTAGTCTTTTCTCCTCTCTAAGTGTCTGAGGTTATCTCAGGAGTGGTCTCAGGAGTGCTATGCCCTGTTCAGGTATTAGAACACTGGAAAGGGATCATCTTGGGCATAGCGACCTCCTCCCCAGTCCTGTATGGTGTCAGACTGGTGGTCATCTCAGACTAACTTCCTGTTCAAGTTCCATGCTGCTGGTTGCCTCTGGCTTATGCTCTGCTTGAGTGACCGTTTGTAAATGTTGTCTGTTTTTTTTCCAGTCTGGCCCAGGGCAAGCAGTCCCAGGCAGTTTTCTTCTAGTCTCTGGCTTGCTCCTGATACTGGAAGCTTGTTCATGCCTGCCTAACCCCAGATTGGTGGTTGTCTCACTCTGGCTTTTTTCAGGGAATGTTAGGCTTCTAATTATTCAGATGTTCACAGGTCAGATCATTGAATGTAGACATATTCCCTCTCCTCTCTGCCACTTACTGGTATATTTGTGATACAGCAGCCACACCTACAATGCTTCTAGGGGCAGTGGAAATATTTTTCTAATGACTCCAATCTGGCTTTGACCTAGTAGACCATAGCTCTTTGTATTTTCATGCTGCTGCACAGGAGTAACATTCAGACATCCCTGGTGAAAAAGGAGAACTGTAGAAAGCTTTGCTTTAAGAGGACAAGATATTAACAGAAAAGGTAAAAACCCAAGGGACTATAGGTGATTTGGGAAGTGGCTAGCTATCCACTGCAGTAATATATTGGGTGTCTATACATCTAGTATCTTCAGAGGTACCCAAATATCACAAAGCAAAGGTATGAAAATAGCTATTTGTTAGCAAACTGAATTTCTAAATATTGAAATACATTGACATGAAGTATAAAAGCAAAATACCTAGTTTTACAAGTATGGAATCATTGACCAAGGAGAACTATGCAGTATTTTTTTTTTTTTTGCTTATCTTCCTCTTCTTCTTATATTTATCTCACTCCTTTGAATTGTCTCAATTTATGCATTACTCACTTCAGAGCCTGCTTAGCCATGAGAGCGAACTGTGACAGTCACTTCTAGTATTAACTGATGACAGCACTCTGGAAGGTACAGTTCATAGAAATGGAAAGACAAGGGTTTAATTTAAGAGATTCACTTACAATAAATGCATCTTCTCAGACTAGCTGTGATATTTCAGTAGAAACAAACTTAGACAAAAATTTTATCTTTTTTGTCATTATGATCAGACCAAAGTTACAATGTTGACCTAGATAATCATGTATATGAAATATACATGCATTCATATGTGGTTAAAAATCACATTACTTTAATACAGGAATTTCCTTCATTTTCCAAAAGTCCTAGGTTTTCTTACTACAGAAATGGCTTTAAATTGTAAGCTTTATTCTCAAATGCTATTATTCTCAGGCTCATGATGTAGTCAAGAACAAGGCACACATATCACAGTGATTACACTGAATTCACTGGATCACAATGGAGCTGAAAGGTACCCACCTCAACTTATGCATATGTACAGACATATATTGCCATTTCACTGGGCAATTATATTTTTGAAATGTATATTTATGAAATTTTATTGCAAAAGAATACGTTGTCACAAGTTACCTGTTTACCCCATGTCTCATGATTGCAGTATTTTCTTTTGTGCTTAACATAATCTTGCATTGTTTTGCTTATCATGGCCCTCGAAGCAATGGTGCATACAATATATAGATTATATAGGCTATATGCCATGATATATATATATATATATATATATATATATATATATATATATATGTGTGTGTGTGTGTGTGTGTGTATGTATGTGTGTGTGTGTAATGTGTGCATGTGTGAATATACATGACATATAGTCTATGTATGCAGTAGAAAATTAATTGACATCCTCTAGATCTATGTAACTATACTCTGTGATGTTAATGCTACAAGAATATTGCCTAACAATACCTTTCTCTGAATGAATCCCTGCAGTTAAGCAATACATCCCTATAATTTGATAGGATGGGAGAAAGTTTTCAGGGTTTAAATACATAAATTTACTCCTTGGAAGGCATTGCATAGTGCTGGCAATAATTATAGACCTTGTATTTGAACTTTAATGACTGAAAACATCCCGGCATGGAGTTCCCAGCTGTTGTCTCTTTCTCTTTCATTCTTATTATTTTATCAAATTAGACCAAGAGGGATAGTTAGAGGTCATATTTGATTGGCAGTAATGAAGTATGGTAAGCCATATATTATAATAGTATAACCAAAGACTTGATGTGCTTCAAACAGAATTTTTTTTTTTTTTTGCAGTTTCAGGTGCTGAGAAACTCAGTTTTGTGGCATTGACAAATTGTGTGTCTGAAGAAAGTCTATCTCACAGCTCATAGATGGAGTTTCTAGCTGTGTGGGAAAGGCAAAGAAGTTCTCTCAAGACTATTTTAAAGGACACATCTCATTCATGAGGACTCTATTCTCAGGAAGCAGTCATCTTCCAAGTGTTTCTTTTGTAACACAGTTAATTACTTTAGCTATGTTTGAGTGAATGATGAATTCAGATAGAACAGTAGAAGAATTCAAGATTTTTGCTGTTTTGTTCACAGAATTCTCATGTCAATGTATACTAGTAAATTAAATCATTATCAATTCCCTCGTGGTGCCATTGATCCAGAGGTAAATGCTGGTTAACTGTAATGTATGCAAGTCCCATTAGTCTCCTTCAGTCCTCTGGTAGCACTCAAATCTAGAGAAAATCTTGAGTACTAGCATTCAGAAAGGCTGCAGTTAGAGCCTACCCACTGCTATCAATTGTTGTTCTGTTTTTAAACTGTGACATGGATTATAACTAACTCTATAGGAAAGCCAACAGCATCACAGTCTGGGTGTTCCAGGGATGCACTCTTTGCTTTGCAATGTTTTCTTACAACTAGTACTGTGCTTCATGTGGGGTCAGCACTTTGTGAGCGTAGACTGAGAGGGCTTCATTTGTTTGGTTGGTTGTTTTTCAGATTGTAATTTAATTACAATACTTTCACTTCACTTTCCTCTCCTGAAATCCCTCCATATATTCCTCCCCACTCTTCTTCAAATTCAAGGCCTTTTGCTTTAATTGTTGCTGTGTGGATATATGATTTTGTATATATGTATCTTCATTCCTAAATATATCCTCACTAACATGACGAGCCAAATGTCATGGATGACAAAGTTAACACCAACAGGCATGTCAAACTGCATGAAGAAAAGCCCATGAGTCCTTAAACCTACTCAAAGAACTACATACAACTGATTATACCTGGGATCAGGAGAGATAGTCCTCCCCAGGGCAGAACACACAAATTGCTGGTTGACAGTACTTTAAACGCACACTACCAGGCAAAAATAAACTACATTTTGTGTTATTGTTATTCCACACTGATGCTCTTCCATCCCCCGCCTCCTTTTCTATGTTCAAGATTCTCTAAATTCACTTCAATGACTGTTTTTAAAAAATGTCAGATTAACTGCTTAAAATTACCTAAGAAACTTTCAAAAGTACAAGTTACATGAAACATCGAACTGTAGTGGCATGAATAAACATCATTATTTCTCCATCCTGAATATACTGATGGTACAGAGAGAGATCTGTGTAGATGCAGATACATAAATTCATAACACAGAATCTATATCCATACTAACAATGAAAGTATGATAGCTATGTTTCATGTAAGCATGGAAATACTGTCCCTTAGTGCTATTTCTCTCACTCACCCAGAACCCTTAGAGATAGGCAAGTTTGCCAGCCCTCTGCAGGAAGCATGGAAAGATTACCATATAACAAATTTTGAAATAAAAAGAAGAGATGTATTTGACCTTACAGTTATCATTTGAAATGAAACTCCTTGCACTAATATGGCCCTTCCATATTGCTATTAACTCAATATTCATCACAATGTAAACAGGCATATTAGAACCATTACCAGAGGCAACATTTTGAGAAATGTAAACCTTTCAGACACATGTCCCCCCCTTCTCTGAGACAATTTTTTTTTTGGTTTTTGGGTTTTTTTTTTTTTGCTTGTTTTTTTAAGTGATCTTGTCTTTGGGGTTCCAATGGAAGGAAGAAAAAAATTGACAACCCACAAAACTCCCAATCAAAAACTTGTCCAGACTACAAGGTGTGCAAGATTAAAGATCGAGCAGAGACTGAGGAACTGGCCAACCAAAGATTAGCTCAATTTGAGACCCATCTCATGGGAGAGAGCCAACCCCTGACACTATTAATGATTCTCTTGTATGCTTGCTGACAGGAACCTAGCATAACTGTCCTCTGAGAGACATTATGCAGCAGCAGATGGAAACAGATGCAGAGACCCATGGCCAAACATCAGGCAGAGCTCTGGGAGTTTTGTAGAAGAGTGAGAGATAAAATTGAGCAAGCCAGACAGGTCAAGGATACCACAAGAAGCCCTTCAGAGTCAATTAACCTGGGCTCACGACAGCTCACAAAGATTGAACTACCAACAAAAGAGCATGCAGGGCCTGGATCTAGGCCCATACACATTTGTCACAGATATGGAACATGATCTTCATATGGGTCCTCTAATAATTGAAGCAAGAGCTGTCTCTGACTCTGTTGCTTGCCAATGAGCACTACTCCTCTTACTGGACTGTATAATTGAGTCACAGTGGAAGTCAAGTGCTTAGTCCTGCTGGTACTAGATGGCCCAGGGTGTGATGGTACCCAAGGAGGGGAAGAGGAGGGAGTAAATGGGGGACATATTTTTAAGGGTAAGGCTGAGAGAAGAGGATGGAGTGGGCTGCAATTGGTATGTAATGTGAATAAAAAATTATGGAGAAAGAGAGAGAGAGAGAGAGAGAGAGAGGGAGAGAGAGAGAGAGAGAGAGAGTCAGACAGAGACTGAGAGAGATCCTATCTTGATCCTGATCAAGCCTCCAAACTTGGTTCTCTATTGGAATATCAGAATCTGTTCACTAACAATGTAACTTCATAATTTGTTTTTATTAGATAAAACAAATGTATTAAGTCTGTGCTATAACAAACGTTACATTTCTGACAACATAATGGCAAACAACACTCATTATATACATCCTATGTCTGATCCAACATTATGTAATAGAACTACTCCAGGAAAAAAAAAATGACAAGAGGGATAGGAGCATGGCTCAGTTAGTAAAGTGCTGACACTGCAAGCATGGGGACCAGAGTTCAGGTCTACAACACATCCTAAATAATCCTTAAAAGCCAAGTATAGTCTTAAGTGTCTATAACCTCTTCGTAGGAGGGTGAAGATGGGCAGATATATGGAGCTTATGGACAATCCAGTCTAGCCAACTGGTCAGAATCATTCAGTGGAAAAGCCTGACTCAAAAGACAAGGTGAGAATTGATGACAGGAACACCCTGCTATCAACCTCTAGCCACCACATACACACAAACACATGTGTATTTGTACCTGCATACAAATGAATACATGTGCATCATAGAGATAAGCACACACAATCACCTCCCCACCCCACCCCATCCCCATGCCACACAAGAGGT